TCCTTGGGCTTATAACATAACATTAAGGAAAAGTTCACAAACTAAATTAAATCACATACAACACACATAACAACTAATAATATAACGACTCAAATGTGGCCGTCGATCTACGGCCCCTTCTATGATAAGCTTTCCATGCATAGATGTCCCCATCAATAAGTCCATCTTATAAAAAAGATCAATTGGACTATTCGTAATAAAATTATAAGTTCAAGTGGCCCTAGAGATGACATCACTTATGCGTGTGCGGGCATGTTTGGGAAGGTGTGGAGTGGTTGTTCTCACATTGAATATTTTAACCCTGCTTGTAAATGGTACCTAAAACGGAACCTGTTTTAGTAACTCGGATGCTCTACTATTTTCAGTTAGCGCCTGCATAAAAATCACCACTGTGAGAAACAAATATTTAAGCAAAGAAAAGGTATTATCAATAATCAATTTTGCATGACCTACAAAAGCTTCACTGCTTGCTTCAAAAGCATGAAAATCACTAGCTGAGGTGAACGACCTTCTATTGTTCCAATCTTGCAACTGTAGAAAAAAACAACAAAAAAGTAAATAAGCATTTTGTAACATTGAGATTTGCTTCATTAACAAGATAAGCAGACAAAGAGCTTCACAAAGCCACTACATGCAAGAGCTAGCAAAAAAGCATCATAGCATTCAAAGTGGCTGCTGAGTAATAAATAGATATGATTCATTTGACATGATTTGTATCACTTAGATATTGAAAAACTTAAAATGATTCAGTGATACAACATAGGCAAGAAACTGAAGTAGTTATGATTCAGAAAAAAATGCAAAAAAAAACTTCATCACAACTATCTAATTCTCAATTAACAAGAGAAAATAGCTGAGCATTCTGAAGATATACATGGTTCAAGAGTTCAGATATCATAGCACGAGCTCTAGTTCATATTGTTTCAACTGAGAACTTATTGGCAAAGAAATCAGTTCCAAGTTTCAGAGAAGACATAGTAGCAGGTACCACCCAAAACACTTGCCATGAAGCCTGCATAAGAAGATTGCAGAAGCATAATTGAAAAAAACCAAAGATATGTTAGCTTTGTAATTTGTTTTTGATTGTATTGCAGAAAACTAGGCTATTGATAATAATTCACATTAAAAAGAAAAATGTCAAACACACACAAAATAAGTGATGGATTAATTTTGCAATGTATACCATACCTGTTTTCATATGATAACTAAGAGCCTAGTATCACTCAAGGATATTGGTCTTTCCTGCTCAAAGAATTCCTCATTGTCCATGATTGTCAGCATATACCTGAATGAGCTTAAGATTAAATGTTTAACAGACAGACTTAATACCCTTTCCATAAAACATAAGAAGGGATGGCTCTGAGAGCATACACAATACCTAAACAGATTAGATTTCTAAAGATGTTACGCTTGTGAAGAAAAACATTATTGAGAAACAAGAATACTTACTTATACACGGGACAGAAAACAGCCAAAGATAATAGCCAGCGTGAAGAAACATCAAGAATATATGCAGTAAGTTTTGTAAAAAGTGGCCATGTTTTATTTTCTTGACAATACTTAATAAAACTCCAGATTATAAGAACAAGATCAGTTCCATAAGCAAGCAAAGTCAAGATACGTTCAGAAGGCAATGTATTGAATTTCACATGCAGGAAAGCACAAATAGAACCAATGGCTTCAACCGCTTCATCAGATGGAGCACTTTCATATCTATGACGACTAAGTGATGTATCCTTAAACAATGCATTTACCTGTTCAACAATCAAATAACAAGTACTAAATATTTGATGAACTTTACAAGAAGAAATGACACTATTTTAGCAATTATGAAGTAGCATACCAAAAGTTGAAAAAAAAATGTGAATTCATTGCATCTTTTATGTCTTTCAAGATTTGTATCAAAAAATTCGTTAGTTCCCTCATTCACGCTCATATCATCATCAAAATACCCTCAATAAAGCAAAATAAACCAAAAGTGGAATGTACAATAGGAAATCAAGGTAAGAACAAAAAAAAGTTGAGCAAAAAATTGGAGAATAAAGCAGGAAGGCAACAAACATTTTCACTAGACAATAATCTTCAGAAAAATATATATGATATTTTCTACAAACAAAGGGTTTAAATTCAGAAATACAAGGGAACACAATAACAGACTATACGATGGTCGCCACTTGAAATAACAATCGTATTGACCAAGCAAATGGTTATTACACATAAACAGGTGTACACATTCATACTGAGTTGGACATGCATGGTTGAATGTCTGAAAACTTCTTAGTTGGTTCAGCTTCTTATAATCTTGCAAGCATTTCAAAATAATATGGAAAAGCAAATTCAAAAAAGTTAACATGTTATTTAAGTCAAGATCTAACTAGTAAAAATGTTGTTCCATGTCATATGAAAGTTTAAACATTCACATTCAATAAAACATGCAAACTTGTAAGTTGAAAAAATTGGCAAGAAAAAGGGAGCAATATGATCAAAAATATCACATCTACTCCCAGCATTTATTTACAAAGCATGAATAAAACAAAATTTGATACTTTCAGTTAAGAAATCATGAGTAAGGACTCGCATGATAGAAACAATGTCAGAAACAAAGAAAAAACATGAACTTTGTGTTAGGTATGTTCTAATCACCATTGAGGAATTCCAAAACGAAAGAATACAAAATTCAGCACAATTTAAATTGGGGATGCTGACCTCAAAATCATATGGAGTAAAAATAATGATATTAATAATACAAATATCATTAATATTAATATTAACATTAACATTTAATCCAAACACTACCAGCAACCTCCACATCGTCCTCCATTATTGTCCATCAATAACACCACATTAAACTTGTGAAGGATTTGTTGGGCTCATAGAAATCCTTTTGGGTAAAGCACAATTTTTTTTTTTTAGCACAAATCCAAAGATGCCTACAGAACACCACAATTCAATGTCTGTGGGGACGGGAGCGGAGGCTAAACGTGTAATCACTAATGCTATGGATATTCCTCCAATGTTATCTCCTGCCCATAATGGCGAATCAACCTTTCAAGAGAATGTGGGTAATTTGCTTCATCCGGTTTTTTGAATCGGAACAGGTGGATATTGGTGATTCTATTGTTGTGGAGGCCGGGAGGGTAGTTTTGCCACCGTTGGGAGTGCTAAATAATTTAAATGTTTCTCTTACGTCGGCTTTGGTGATTGGCAGGGATAATTGTATTGATACTACTGAGGATGTGGTTATTCGTTCTGGTGTTTTTAATTTGGGGGAGGCTGTTGTGGCGGATGATGCTCCTTTGAATCATAGTTTGCCTTTGGTTGTTGTAAGAAATGGAGATGATGAGGTTCTGGTTTTTAATAATTGTGGGGTTAACCAATGTGCTACTCCCATTCTGTCCTATAATGTTGATGGTGTGGATGATGTTTCTGATGGTGAAAACTATGTTTCTTGATGCTCTGTTAGGCCTTTGGATGTGCCTGCTTCGGCCCTTCCAATGTGACTTCTCCCTATGTGGGTGGTTATCCTAATTTGGTGGATCGTAATGTCTTTGATGTGTCAATCTCAATTATTTCTTAAGGATGCTTTAAAAGCACATTTCAACATGAAAGATTCTAGTGTAGATCATTTGGATTGGCTTGATGAGTAAGCCTCCGCTCCTTGCGGGGATGTTGGAGATGGTTTTGGTGATCCGTGGATGCGTTTCATGAATTGTATAGTTTGAATGTTGGGTGTTCCAATAAGAAAGGTTTTTCTATTGGTCGTAGCAAAAGACATGATAGGAAATCTAAAAAGCACTAATTGGTTTTTGTTTTCCTATTTGTGGTTGTTGGTCCTTGTTGCAAATTTGGCATTGGAATTTTGAGGCTGGGGTGTTCTTTGTCTTTGTTTATCTTTCCTTATGTCTTTGCTGGTTGTATTTTGTTGATGTTGGATCTTTTGGTCGGTTGTTGGTTTTTGGGTTTGTTGTCCTTTTGGTCGTGAGGTTATTGGTAATGGGGTGGTTTGTTTTGCTTGTGTTGGTTATTTTGGTTGTTTCTTGCAGGTTTAGTTCGTTCATCTTCAAGCTGCTTGGCTGGTATGATGGATTTCCTGCTTCCTTTGAAGCCTACCGTCATTTCTCCATATTAATTTGTTTCATATTCTTTATGTTGTTTAACTGTGTAATAGATAGAACTTTGGCTCGTATGTTTTATTTCAAAAGCTGTATTTTTAGAGAGCTAAAGGTTCTTTAAGGACCTGTAATTTCCTATTTTAATCAACGCATAAGCCTCCATGGGGTTTTTATTTAAAAAAAAAAAACAATTTATTGTCTGATTCAACCCATTTTGTTTAAATCAGTGGTCAAATAAGTTCACATTAGTTGGTTGACTTAGAGGGTACAACAACATCAACATCAAACATTTATCTCACTACGTGGATTTGCCTACATGAATCTTTTTCTCTATTATGTTATGTTAAGAGTCAGATACTCACATATAATAAAAAAGGTCATTTTTAATACTTTCTAACCAAATCTTTTTAGGTCTACCATACATTTCTTAATAAATATAATACATCTATTCTCCCAACCGGGTCGTCGAAAGGCTAATGCTTTATGTGACCAAACCATCTAAGAAAACTCTCTTTAATCTTATCTATCAGTGGAGCTACTCCAATCTTTTCACATATATACTCGTTTAACATTCTATCCCTAAGAGTGAAGTCACTCGTCCACATAAACATTCTCATCTCTGCAATACTTAACTTAATTTTATACTTCTCTTTTAATTGCCAACATTTTGCATCATAAAGCATTGCAAGTCTCACCATAATCTTATCGAATTTCTCCTTAATTTTGAGTGGTACTTTTATATCCCACAACAGGCCCAATTAATTTCTCCACTTCAACCGTCGTTCTACTAATAATAACCCCATCTATTTCAGTATCACTTTGAACAACATACCAGTGATATCTAAAACATGTTGATGGGGACATCAGATCATCGAAAATATATCAGAGACGTGGCCGACAATCTACGACCACGATCGTGCCAATCTATTTTTAAGTCATCCCATGATTTATTTTATTTATTTGTTTTATGTATCAGTTTTATTAGCATTTCTTGTTTTACCCTTACTTAAGGGTTTGGTCATATGTAAGCCCTGGGGTTTGGTCTTTTAGTTCCTTGTCATTGTATTAGGCTATATATAAGCACCTTATATTTCTTTTGAAGTTAATGAATGAATAATAATGAAATTTTTGCAACTGTGTTTTCGTGAGAGCTTGAGAGCTTTGGAGAGAAATCCCTAGAAATGGGAAAAGGATCACCCACCAACCTTGGAAGTGTCCGGGTTCACGGCTATTCTCTTCCCTATCCTTTCTTCTCCTCCTCCCTTTCCTTCCCTTCCACCGTACGGCCAAGCTATTTTTCCCAAAACCGCCGGCCTCCTCCACGACTTCTCACTGCCGGCCAACCCAAGCCCCACCCCCATAGCTGTCGGCCTCTCACTCCACGCCCTAGGCGCCAGCCCTCCCAATTCCTCTCTAAGATTTGTTACTTTTCTAAATTGATAGGTTACTAATTTGGGAAGGATTTGAACTCAAAATCAAATAAGTTTGAACTTCCAATTCTTTCCTAAATCGCATAGCTTATTTTTGGAAAGTCTCGTTCAATCTAGTCACAATACAATTTGAATTCCAATCAAAGAATAATTCGAACCCCTTTACTAATTTAAGTTGGCTTTGATTGGAAATCAATCAAAAATCCAATATTCCCTCTTAATGATCGGCCTCCTCACTCTCTCTCTCTTGCTGCCTCTCTATAATATCCATTTTTTTAAATGTAAGTGCATAATTTAGGCATAAAATTTCCCCAGGACTCACGACATTTGATTTTATCAGGCACCCATAAAGCATCAAATCTATTTTATTCGAAGTCTATATTTTTTAAGTATTTAAATTTAGACAATTAAGTTGAATTATTCTTAACTTATGATTAATCAAATGGATATAACTAAACTTAATATTAAGCAAATAATGAGTGTTGTACAGTTCAGTTCCATAAAATAATTAAATAGTCATAGCAGACAATTCCACTTATATCCGCATGCAACAAATCAATTGCACCAAACGACTGAGATAGCTTAGGAAGATTGTAGTGGAAAAAGCATTAGGCTTATAATATTATATAATTATTGCACTTGCCTATTATATTCCTCATACATTCTCGTCACTTTGTTCTATATCATTTAGTGTTCAAATGCTCACTAAAGTGTTCAAATGCTAGCAGTGAGCAGCAGAGGGG